GTCGATTATTAGTCCCGAGAGTGTCGAAAATCTCTAGAATCCAAAATAGTCTTCAACCTTTTATTAGCAAGGTTTTGTTAAATTAATAACATACATTCAAGAAGCACTTGTTTCCGTCCCAAGCATTTACATTGCACTATTTCTTCTTCAACCTTTTATTAGAATCCAAAATAGTCTTCAACCTTTTATTAGCAAGGTTTTGTTAAATTAATAACATACATTCAAGAAGCACTTGTTTCCGTCCCAAGCATTTACATTGCACTATTTCCTTTGGACCATATCCGTTGCACCATTTCCAATTTACTCCCAACCAACCAACCGCCGCTAAAGAAGTTTCACTTCAAAAACAATTTTGAGATTCAGCAATTATTTAAATTTTAGTAAACACTTTTATAAGTATGTATAATTTATATGTGTCTTCTGACGGCGTTCAACCTCTTGACCTCTTGAAAGTTAACAAATAGTAGTACGCTCCTCTGCACACTTAGCTACTGGTGAATACGTACATATGTATACTTGCTTTCAAATGCTCAGTTTGAACAAATATTTTAAAATTATTATTTTGAAATAACATGATGCCATTTTTCTGATATGAAAAATTAACAAAAATTGAAATAGTTTTCTGAGCGTTTCCGGATTCGAAAATTGTACTAAAACTGCACTGTCGACAAAAAGTGCATTTCTCTGCTGGCTTGGCTATAAAACTGTATACTCAAAAATAATCTAATAATTCTGAGAAAATGTTTCAAATTTGGAAGAAAATTTGTAGAATTTTTTTAGTTTTTTACAAAAATTTTAATTTGGGGTTTTATGGGTTTTGCTAGAGAATAAACTGTATTTTAATTCAAAATTCTTAAAAGTGAATAAATAAACATAAGTAGTAAACAATATCACTTTGAAATGGGGGTGCATTGATACGACCGATGCTGTATGCAATTTTTTTATATTGTAACAGTTGAAGTGACAGACTGTATGTAATTTTTTTTTTATATGCAAAATCAAACTAAAACTGCAAAGAACCCAAAAACAATAAAAGTTTTAAGTTTTAAAAAGTTTGTTTTTTAAGTTTTTTAAAGTTTACTTTATTTATTTTATTACGTTTCATATTTGTTTACATATTCTGGTGTAGGTGGTCCCATAATCAATCTCCGTCAGACATAACTTCAAAATGATAATATGAAATTTCGATCTTCCTTTTATTTGTCGTCTTTTCGAAAAAGTATTTGCGAAGTGCAGGATATTTAAATAGAAACGCGTTTAAAGAAAACAATCTCCTGCATTACTTGTCGACTATTTTCAAGTTAGCTTTTTGTAGCTACTTACAAGTTATATATTTTAGAGAAATCCAACAAAAAAGCTAACTACAAGTGAGTTATTTTTTATCAATTGATAATTTTTTTTTGCAGGGTATGGATTCATAGCCTTAACCCTAAATTTGATATGGGAACAATCCGCCATCTTGGATTTTAGGTTTTTTGTTTTTATTGCGAGCTTATTTTGCATTTTTCATAAAAAAGTTTCAATACAAACTTGTGGAGAATTTACCTAACCCCATTTTTTATGAAATTGTAAAACCGTGATATCTTAGATTTCTTCATTTTTTGGCAGCAACAGCAAATAGTTTTGATTTTTTTTAGCGAAAAACCTTCCACACAGAAGTTCCAAAAAGCGCGGTTGGTTATGATTGAACACACTTAAATTGAATGTGAATAAAACTAAGTTTGTGGTTATATCAAGGCGAAATTTTGAACAAAATTGTAAAAATTGTTGCTTCTGTTGATCTAATAAACCGCCTACACATTTTTTTTTAAATATCTATTATGTAAAGATATCGTTCTGTTACAATTTTATTGTTCTCAAATACTTTCGTTTAATTTCCATATGGCAACATTTAGCTTCAAAAATATTTTCGAAAGTAAACTTTCTAAAACTCTTTAGTTTAATATCCGTATTGTAATATTTCATATATTTTACCGTTTTAAATTGATACAAACAGGTGACAACCACCCTAAAAATTTCCCAAGTTCTTTAATTTGATGCCTTTATTGCAATATTAAATTTATGTTATCAATTTAATTAAATAAAAGTTTTCAAACCGGTAGGCCTTTGTAAACCGCTTTCTATTGACAGCCGTATTGCAACATTTACTTTATCGTATCAATTTACTTAAATTGAAATTTTCAAATAGGTGGCAACTCTCTAATTTTTTCTTCTATATTGTAAGTTAGACCTCTATCGATACATCGGTGAAAACTGAACTCGCTTCCATGCACTAGTTTTCGAGTGATGCGCGTAGAAACACACAGACAGACGGAAAAAATTCTAAAAATTGTTGGATTTGGCTACTAAAGCTCTAATAAAGATATTAATTTTGTTTTAATATATATAGTGTACAGACATCGGCCTGTTACAATTTTTTATAAGTATAGATTTAATTTATTTTAGCTATTTAATTCAATAAAAATGTTCAACCCTCCTCAAAAATATTTTCGGCAGTAAACTTTCCTAACCCTCTTCAGTTTGATACCAATATTGCAATATTCAATTTATCTTATCAATTAAATTAGATAAAAGATTTCCAAAAAGATGGCAACCCTAAAAAATTTCGGCTATAAGTCTTCTTAAACCTCTTTCTTTTGACGGCCATATTGCAATCCTTACTTTTTGTTATCAATTTACTTAAACTGCAATTTTCAAACAGGTGGCAACTCTCTAATTTTTTTCCTTCTATATTTTAAGTTAGACCTCTAAAAAAATATTGATTTGGCTTCTGTTGCTCCAATAAATACCCCTCATTAATTTTTCTTTAATATCTATGATGTACAGACATCGGCCTCTTACAATTTTATTATACGTATAGATAATTAGCAAAAAGCGCGAAAAATTGGTTTTGCTTTTTTGCAACAATTTCTGTTGAAAATACTTGCCACATTTAAGTGTCAAGGTTGTAGAGAACTAACTAACTAGCATTCGACTAGTGGTAACTATTTATTGACTACAGTATATTTTGCTTAGCTGTACATCCTTCTTTGCACGAAAAACGTGTGGACGTAACCGAAAAAGGCACTTAAGCGAGTTTTCTTTACTACTTCAATGAGGAAGGTATCTGAATCCCTATGAAACCAAATATTGGTGGAGCACTTACCATGTAGAAACTACTGCAAGCGAAATTTTTACCGAATGTTATCTAATTATCTATACAACTACATAAATTGATAGCCATTTTCGTTGTTCTGTGAGATGAGCAAAATAAATAAAAGCTTGTAAAATTAGGTAATTGTACGGCCAATGCAGGTAAACGTAATACTTTCTTTGCTAATTGATACTAGTCGCACAATTTTTAAGGCAGGTATCGCCAATGTGCAGTTATGTTGAATGCATCTATCGGAGCAGTTTCCTTATAAATGTTAAAAATAATGCTTTTGATGCGCATTTTGGGGTAGGTATCTTAAATGTGCACTTAAGCATAGAGGCAGCAAAGCAAAATATACTGTATTTCCTTTGGCCGTAATTTTGTGTGGATATTTAAATAGAAACTTGTAAAGAAAACAAACTTCCGATAACGTCTGCACGACTCTTGCACGACTTTACAACTAACTTAAAGTTAGTTTTGTTATAGCTAGTTTAAAGCTAGTTATTTATCGAACTCCCCCAAAAAAGCTAACTAGAAGTTGGTTAACTTTTTTCTTCAGGGTAGTGGTGTAAGGGATGCGGCTTTAAATTCATTTCCACAAAATTGAATTTAAAGCCATTTCCTAATGGATTTTTGTTTTCTGAGAATTTCATGTAGAATCCGAATCTGCTGGGAACGATGTCAAAAAGGAGATGTAAAAAAACAGGGGCAGAGAAGGCATTCCAGTTTTGGTTTACTCTAGTGGGCGTTCTGCTTGAGAACAAAAGTATTAGAACCTTACGTTAAGAATGAGAGGATCATCTGCGTGTTGGAATCAAAAATCGCTTCAGTGAGAACCACAATTGTTAATTCAAAGCCAGAGGAAAGGTGGATCATTTCAACTTCCAGATCGTTTATCATTACAACGAAACGAAAAATTACACTGAAGATGGCACAACGCCGAAACCGGTTTGTCTCCAAACCAAATTTGACAAGGGATGACGGAAATTCGTTCCAAAATACATCGAACAATTTTTATTTGTGTGAAAGACAAGTTTGTGTCTGAAGTCTTGACTAGAGTAGTTGACTTTATTTGTATAATTATGTTTCAGTTATTTTCTGATTAATTTTAAAATGCAAACAATTCAAAATAATGGAACGCTATGAGAAAAATTTTGTTTTCTCTTCCTTTCTTCGCTAATAGTTCAGAGAATATTTCTTCTCGTTTCGTTCTCTGTCAGAAAGTTCCTGAGACTCTAGTTCCAAAATTGTTCTTCGAGAGAAACTTCCTAAGATTTTGATCCCGTTTTGTTCTTTCCAAAACGTTGCAGAGACTTCTGTTCTCCTAGAAATGCTCCCGAATATTTCGCAATTTGTCCTCCTTGGGAACGTTCCACATGGGTTTGTTCTTATTTAATTCCCATTCAGAACGTTCTCGACAGTTTTCTAATTTCGGTTTTAGTTTTGAAGAGTCCTTGGGAACAAAACAACAATGAAAAAAAAATCGTTCCACAAAAATTGACCCGGCCTAATGTGAAATATAAATATGTATGTGTGCAGATTTTTATATATGTAGCGAAAAATAAATTATTTAAAAAATTGTTGTCGGTATTGTAAAAAATTCGCTGTGCCTAAACTTTATTGGCTGACTGTAAGAGTCGACCTAGAGTATCTGCGTCTTGAAACTGTCACACAAATTGGGGCAAATAATTGTAAAGTATTTTTATATTAAAAAATATGTCAAAGAAAAACCAGATTTGTAAAAAAAAATATTATTAAGAATAATAACGTACTTCGTCCCAAATTTTATTCACAAATAATTGAACTGAATGAGTTTTTATATTATATATATTATTACTATTATGCTGCATTTATTGTCTATTTTCAGATTTGTAAAAGTGGAGGGCGCTAGTTGAAGATGGCGCCTCGGATATAGCTGTTATCCAAAGCTAACCCGCGACATCCATGTGCCTCATGTAAGACTCCCGCACCAATCCGTTCTGATTAAATACTAATTATTTTTTATCTACAACTTGAATTTGAAATTAATTTTACAGGCCTTGGAAATCTGAGGCTCTCATCGCTGGCCGTATAGACAATGACAGAAGATTCCGACTCGATATCTGAGGAAGAACGTAGCTTGTTCCGTCCCTTTACCCGAGAATCATTGATTCAAATTGAAAAACGCATTGCCATTGAACATGAAAAACAGAAGGAGTTTGAAAGAAAGAGAGCCGAGGGCGAGGTGGTAAATAGTTTATTTCGAGTTATACAATTTTACAGCAATTATTAATTATTTTCTACTAAGTATCTTCAATTCTAGTACGATGTACACTTGTACATATTTACTATCTATTATCCTTTTTAGATTTATTTGTTAGACTACTCCCTATAGTCCTTTTACTATTTATTTACATAACTGATGTTAATTTTTTTATTTCAACAAGAAATTGTAGACCAATAATAATTAGCAGTTAAAGAGGCCCTGTTTCCACATTTCTCACTTCCACATAGATCCTTCCTTAAGTTTAGTATAAACACTACAAGTTGAAGTTGATTTTGGGAGTCCAGCACCCTAAAGGATGAATCCAAAGTTAAATCAATTCATGTTTCACCCCTTTTCTCCCTGTGTCTTTCGTTTTATCAAACCTCAAATCACAATCATTTTAGGTACAATATGTATTACGAATGCACCTCATTTATAACTACTAGTAATGCTATTGAAAACATATCGCCAATTATCGAAAAGATTGTATACAATAATTTGCTTCCCTTATTCAAAGTGTTGAGAAATTTACCTAAATTGACATGTACATATGTAAATGGCGACAATACATACATACTCGTATGTGTTGGTATTTACCTTGCGTGTTTTCTTAAAATACAACGAAACAAATTTAAAAAGGCAGAAGTACATATTTGATGTCTTTAATTAATATTAACTTCCTGTTTTATTATTTTATTAAACGTCGCACAACGTAAATTTTCGTATATGCTTGCATTGAATTTGAAAACTTATTAAAATAGGCTTCTACTATTTATATGTGATTCTATTGTACATTTTCTATTTGAATGTTCTAAACAGTGTTTATTGTTTAAAACTAAACACTAATATTAGCAAAAAAAAATATGGATACAACTATTTCCTATATTCTAGATTTACCCTAATCACACCCTTCTTGTTTAGAAAATAATTCTAGCAATTTCAAGTCAGACTATCCTTGTATCTTCATAAGCCACCATCTTTAAAAGTAAATATTATGTGCCTATACATACATATCTATCCACATAACATTGACATACATGATTTATTTGGGAATTATACTTTACAAGTACATACATATGTACGGCATGGCAATGTACGTACAAATATATTTTGACTTAATTTTTAAATTCAAAGTTCATCATTCGCTTGTACATAAATAAACGTTTGTTTTCCTCATTAAAGTCTTCATTTCTATGTGTAATCGTATATTTAGGGAATTCATAAGGTGTGTTAACAGACATACTTAACATTCGTATTTTAATGCCGTAAATTTTTAAAACGGTTAAAAATACATTTTAGTTGAAGTATGAATCAACTTAAACTATTTTTAATCGATATAAAATGCCTCGATACCTTGTGACTTCTCTATTAAAAATCCATACAAGTTTTTATGTACAGCCATATGATCTTACGGACAGAAACGATTTTTTTGAGTACATAACTTAATTTATGTATTTAGTATATGTTGGAAAGTAATCGTTGTATATGTATGTGTTCTAACTATTGGCTTCATTGCCTTATTGGTTTTAATTTACATATTGGTTTAGTTAATGGTAAAAGGCTTATTATATTGAGTATTTATATTGTAATAATTTTTTATCATGCGAAGATACGGACTGTTTGAAAACTTCACTTACCACATATGTACATATATACCCTACATATTCACATAATACTTCTACAGTTAGTATACTGATGTATAGCAAACAAAAGGCTACAGTACACAGGGAGAAATACATGCATACAAAACTTTCACTTAGCTTCACTCAAAACATTTATGACCACAAAATATATGATTGTTTCATATTAGATTTGCAGATTTCGATTTCACTTAATTCCTTGTAAGCAATTGTTCCATCGTCCATCCAAAGTTTAGAGTTGATCAACACAGCTTTCAACAATATAATCAATCATCACCAATACAATAAACTTATAATAATTAGTTTGGTAAAATTTTAAACTTAAACTAAAAACGTATGCTGGTGAGAAAGTTTTACATATCATTTTGTTTCTTATTTCTCTCTTTTTCTCTATCTTTTTCTTCCTAAAATCATAACCGAACAACAAACAACAAACTCTTCCTATTTTTATGTACATTTCCTTTTTCGGGGTCCTCTATTGTCTCTTATAAAACATTTAAATGCTACATTAACGATAATGACATATAAAATGTCGCAAAAATCCTCATTCAGCCGCAATATGGTCGCAAGAAAAAACAAAAAGAAGTAAGACTTTTCAGAAATAGCGAATCTACATATTACATAACACTTTATTCAAGCAGCTTCGTTTGTCTTGTCTACTCTTCTTACATATGTACCTTCTTAGCACATTGTACCTACTCAGATAAGATATTATTTATTTTTTGCCAAACTACAATTGAATACAGCTTTAAAGTGAGCTTTTAAATTGTTTAGACTTCTGAAATTAGTTTTAACTCAATACTTACATACTTTCTTATTTTCACATTTCGGTTTAACATAACTAAGACCGCGTAACAGCAAATTCAAACAAGCACAAACATACAGACATGCATGACTAGAATTTAATAATTACTTACTTACATATGTATTAATATATGTAATAGTAACCTGTTTAAATCATCATTACTTATGCATACACATTTGCATTCAGTTTGAGCTATTTCGCTTTTCGCATGGGTCTGCAGCAGAAAAAACTTTTATTTTAACTCCATTCGTTAAAATATTTAGCATTAGCCCAAGATGATAAAGCAACGCAAACAAGCAGGAAAAGTGTACGGGGTTTAACATTCTAGAACGTTCTAATTCTACATTTCTAATTTTCCCTCAAGCACAGAAATAACGCAACAATTTCATAGGTATTTATTCACGCCTCTGTGGTTTTTGGGTAATATATATTTTGTAGTGTTGGTATCGATACTTTTAAGAATCGGGTATTTTACAGAGTACTGAGTACTTTCTTTAAATATGCACATGTTGCTAACATTACAATACTTAGTGTAGAGATCTTACAAGCTGGCAGTATCTTATTAAAATTAATATATGAATCCAAAATTACGTCAAATGAATGGCTACCTTTACTGGGTACAAGTATTGCACTTGAAAATTATTGAAACTGCAAATAGAGTACAATCATTTCTGAATACCGCTAAATATAAATAAAACTCAGTACTGTTTAAGTATATTTGACACTTAATACTTAGTATTTTGAATCGATCCTGAGTACATGTATCAAAGCGATTATAGGAACAGAGTAGTTTTGGGTACTGAGTATTTTCGAGTTCTTTAATGTTCTGAGTACTTTCGAGTTCCTTTTTTGAGTGCTGAGTACTTTCGAGTTCTTTTGTGAGTACTGAGTTCTTTGGAGTCCTCACTACTCACTCCTTTAAAAAAAAAATCGGGTGCTGTCGATCCTTTTGTGAATCGAGTTCTGAGGACTTTTGGTATAGATACGGCCCAACACTAATATTTTGTTCATAATAAAAAACCACGAAAGTGTGAATACGAGTAAATACTTCTAGTAATTTTATCGAACTGGAAATGTCTCAAAAAACGCTTAAAATATGTACTTATTACCCATAATCGTGCTATATTTTGCAATAAATAGCATAATTTTACTAGCTGTTAAACTTTTTTCGTTTGGATATGGTTTCAGCATGTCAAACTTAAATTCATGTTGCATTTGATTTGAATTATGGCTGCCCTATAACTTAAACTCTCTTTTTTAGTAAATCAGGATATTCGATATTTGAATAAAAAATCCAATCGATTCTAAAGGTTAAAAATAAAACAACAAGTATTTGTGTATTAATAAAGGGTTGTATTATCTATTTTGCAACTTGATAGATTCAGTAATTTTGATAACATTATCCGAATGACCAAATGCATGGATATTAACCGGACATTCGGATATCGGTATAAAAAAATAAACGAATATCAACTGTTTTTCCGGATATTATCCGTATACACGAATATCCGAACTTACATATACCAGGATACCCGAATATACGGATAGTCCCTGCCCTATTAAACGCTTACGCTTAGATGTCAACCCGGCATATTTATTTAACACTAGAATCTCCAGTGAGCAAAATTCGACCACTTAATCATTCTCATAGTTGTTGTTCACGCTTGCCTAGTTATCAGCTTATCTGGTTAAACATAATTTTTCTGTAGTGTATTTTATTGTTGGACAACTACAACCTGATAACAACACATTAATAGCGTTAAAAATAATAATTCTTCAACTAAACTAAAGTAATAATAAGTGGATTCACAAAATCGATAGCCGCAAAGTTGGTCTGGAGTCCACTGGATCCCGTGTGGCCATTACGTGTTCATATAAAAGTATTGAAAATCGATGGGATTAGGTATTAAAAGGGTTCCAGTGAATTTTAGAGAATGTTTGATTTAAGTATTTTTATTATAGTTAGGTAGGAAATGATAAATACATAAATAGTTTTCTTTTGACCATACTACGCAGATGTCTGATGATTGACTCATCCCTATGTACATACATATGTATCTACATATGTATATATGTATGCAAATGCTTTCTTCTTCATAAATATTTTGGTATGTATTTGTGTATATACATATCTATCTGTGTCGAAAATAACAACCAACAACAACAAATAATTGAAGAGTTTCTGATCGAAAGATGATATGTACTCGTATTTCCATTTCCGTTAATTTTTTAGTTTTTTTGGTTAATAACTATTACCTTCGTGACGAGCCACATTCGAAAACCTACCACACTTCGAAACATGTTTAATATTTATTTATTTTTTTTAACCTTACCATCCTGTTAAATAATGGATAGTGGAAACATCATCTTTAATTAGACACTCCTCAATTATACAAGTAAACATATATTTGTTGCAGTTTAACGCCAATGTATGTATGTATTCATACTAAAGGTGGTTTCGAGCCCAATTTTTACCGCCCTTCGCGGCGAAATCAGTTTCCCGACTTATGATTGCATAGCCCTGCCATTCATTCTGTAACTCATATCTATAGCAATTGAAAATATGTGTTTGTATATGAATCCGATGGATACTATCGCACCGTCAGTGGGTAAGAGGTAACTTTTTTGAAATGTTATGCTGGCGATCCACATTGTCATTATTTGTAGTGAATTCTATTACATTTCAAAAAATTTGTTCTTATGTTTAAATTTCTTGAATTTAGTGCCATAAGTATGTAGACTGCAAACTTAATTTTATATCATACTTCAATATAAACTCACATAACTCAATTTCAAAAGAGCGAAATTAGTTGTTTGCCCATTTGTACATATGTACATAAAATTTCATAAACTGACTGTGCTTCTAAAATAATATTTCAGAAAAACTGCCATTATGTATGTATGAGCATTGATTAATTTTTTTTTTGTAAAAATGGACTCAATGTTTAACATTTCGTTGTTTAATCTTTTTGTGAAAAAGTCGTGACAAAATTAACAGAAATTTTGTAACAAAAGTTAAAAATATCTATGTACATAATTACTTATGTAAGTAGGTAGTTTTGGGAGGGCAGCAATTTAAAAAAAATGTGTAGATCTTATGTAAGTTCGTTCATCCTACCTTTCTCTTCCATCCTTGGAATGAGTTTATTAGCAAAGAAATAAAAAGGGTGAGAACTTTTTTCAAAAAAAAAATCTTTAAGAAACTATTTTTATTTATAAAAAACTCCATTTTTGGAGGTATTTTCAAATCGGTCCAGCTCACTTAAATCTTAATATTTTTCCGAAATATTTTGGTGGACGTCTTAAAATATAGTAGGTTTTATAATTCCAATGGAAAAATAGTACCGATTTTTTTTTGTAGGGGGAGTGATGCAGTCTAATGTATATCGATTAATACTCAAGAATATAATTTAGTTAGGTAGACCTTATTAAGGCTTACCAAAGAAGGGCTGAAAAAGATTTGTCTATTAAAATTTACGCGTATGTGCAAGTTTATATTATTTAAAACTACAAATGAATTTCAATATACATTTTGATTTGCAACCAACCTTATAAAAAAAATTGTACCTCAAAATGCATGATTTTCATGAATTAAAGAAGTAGCTTTAGAAGAAACCCCTAAAAGGCTTTTTGACGTATACCTACAAACAGGGACGTGAACCGGTTTTGAACCGAACCGGTTTTAAACCGGAAAACCGCTTTTTTCTATTAATTAACTGAACCATTAACCGAACCGAAATTTTCCACAAATGTTTGATCCGAACCGAAAACCGAACCACTTTCTATAAAGGTTTAAACGTTCGTTTCAACCAATTTTCAATAGATAAATGTACCCACTTTTTTCTTTTTGTTAAACATGGTAATACCTACCATGTTTGCTTACCATGTGACAATATCAAATGTAAGGCAACCCATCTCATTTGACAGACACTTGACCCTTAACCTTGCGCGTTATTGCACTCGACACTTGACAATTAAACTTGCGCGTTATTTTTTTGTTTTTCGAACCGTTGAACCGAACCGAAACCCCGGTTCAAATACCAAAAAAACCGCTTTGATGAACCAATCCAAAAGTTCAAAAACGGTTCGAACCACTGAACCGAACCGACCAAATTTTTCATCCGGTTCACGTCCCTGCCTACAAAAGCCCTTATCTTGGTAGCGAAAGCAGAAGGCCTTAAATTTTTTGTGGTTTTGTGGTACAGACCATTTAAGTACTGTGCTTTAGTATGCAGCTGCTGGTAGGGGCAGCTGTGTTCCCGGTTAGTGCATTTTGTTTTTAATCAATTTAGGTATTACTGCGTTACAGTTGTTATTGATGTTTGAATTACATCTGTAGATTCAATTATTCGTATAAGTGTAAATAATTTACTCCACTCACAAGGTGTATGGTATGTGGAGTTTTAAGTTTCGGGATTATTTATTCAAATGAACTACATAGCATAGTGTTACTATTAAAATTGAGTTGCCTCCTATTCTGCACATTAATTTTTTTTTGATTTGTATTTTGAAGTACTACCCGTAGTTTTCCTGATTCTGAATGGCTTAAATGTGTACAATCGATTTTATATTATTGCCACTGTTAATAAGTATATTGCATTTTTTGTAGTTCTGCTGTTACACTCGCTTTTTATTAAAATCTTATTTACATTACACTTCTGCCCCACCTTTTTACAAATAGCGACATTTTAAATAAATAACTTTCACATTGTTTAAAGGATCTAAGAAATTACGCACTTCAACTATTGTAAAATGCATAATTTGGACCAAAATCGAGGATTTCAGTTCTAAGAATTAAATGCAAGTCATCAACTCCCACACTCGATTAGGAATCAAAATTTAATTCTAATTCGTTTGAAGCAAAATTTCGCTCTACAAATACCCACCACTGCATATATACATATGTATCATCTTAATTATACACTATTAAAATAATAATTTAGGTTGATTTTCATTACGTTTATTATTTTATATTCATAAAACAGTTTTTACTCCGTAATTGCCAACGAGACTTTACTAACCTATCTTTCAAAAATATTTCTCGTACTGCACAACATAAACTTACTCCTACATACAATGGAAAATAATTGCGCGAAAAACTTAGATCCGATATGATGACGAGGACGAGGATGAAGGTCCACAACCGGATCCTACACTTGAACAGGGTGTGCCAATACCTGTTCGACTGCAGGGCAGCTTCCCGCCGGAATTGGCCTCCACTCCTCTCGAGGATATTGATCCGTACTATAACAACGTACTGGTAAGTCAATTAATATAATTTAACACAAAAATATGAAAACCTTTTTTACAATCACAAAAAAACTGGTAACTCTTAATTTTTGAATGTGTTGTTTTTTGCAGACCTTTGTAGTTGTAAGTAAGGGAAAAGATATTTTTCGCTTTTCTGCATCCAAAGCAATGTGGTTGCTCGACCCGTTCAATCCTATACGTCGCGTAGCCATTTACATTTTAGTGCATCCGTTATTTTCGTTATTTATCATTACAACTATTCTGGTTAACTGCATTCTGATGATCATGCCCACGACGCCAACAGTTGAGTCTACTGAGTAAGTATAGCCTTCCAATAACGCAACATTACGGGAGTTTATATATTTGCCTCTTTTTTAAATGCCAACAAGTGTATATACTTACTTATGTATAAATGTAAATGCAAACTTAGCATTTGTAAACAGAAACACTGTTAGGCGTCTCATTGGTATTTTTTATATTATACTTACAGAACTAGGGGACCTTATGTAATACACTCTCATTTCTACTTATACAACAACAAATATGTAATTACCTAAAAGGGTAATCACAATCCGGTGCATATGGTCTTGCATTTGCATATTTCGATGCACTTATACATTCACTGCAATAAATTGCAAACGGTTGCCTTGGTAGCAATAATTTTTTTATTTACAAATTCACCGAAATATGCAAATGCACGACCATATGCACCGGATTGTGATTACCCTTTATGTATTTAAAAAAAAATCTAAATATGCACTGTTGTTTTTTTGTAACTGAGTCACAAAAGTATACTCAAGGCGGTTAAAAAAAATCCAAGTGCATAGCATCTTCCAACAACAAACGTGTAATATCTTTTAAGGACTTTATAGTCGAAAGGGAAATCAAATGGGCTCTTTTAAAGAATTTAGCCAATACATCCATAAACAAACTTGCTAATTATAAACGTACGAGTTGGTGTTTGGCTACAATATTCTAAAGAGTCGCTTATCGTTTAACGAAGTTAGTTCCATCCCGTGTATGCTACCGGGTTCGTGTTTTTGCCTTAACTGTAATACGCTGTAATAATAAATACATAGTGTTCTTTTGCAGCTCGGTTACAAAAGAAGTCAACTAAATAAAACAATATATGTACATATATTCGCATTTATACTGGTTTAAACAAATATATATGTAGTAGCTATAAATATTCAACTAGAGTTCTAGATACATACTAAGGTAGCATTAATGATTTGTTGTTAGAAAAATATATATTTTATTGTAGTTGAGTTTCACGCTTTTATCCAAAGTTTTTTTTTTTTTTGTATATTTACATCTGTACGAACTATATACCTAGCTATATATACCTACATATAAATTTGCCATTAATTGTATTTATTACCTTTATACTTGTAGTATTTCCGCCGATTGCGATACTTTCATAAAACTGTAAAAAAACAAAAAAACAAAAAACAATGGTGTAAATTAGTAATTGCCCTACCTTCTTAGCACATGAAGTTGTTAATCTTGTCGAATCATAATAATCTGATCATATGAAAAATGCTATGCAACTGTCAACATATACACACAATAATTTTATAAGATAATTTCACAATTGTCGTTGTCGTCCATGGTGAAATTATAAACAGGTGAAGTAGTAGATAACTTTCTCGCTTTATTTTCTTGACATTCGGCTTTGCTATATAAAATTTTCAAGGCAAATACTCAAATAGGATAGTGTCGAATCAAACAACAACAGGTTATCAGTTCTTCGGAATATTTTTTTTTTGTTACCGCATAACTTTTGGCCACGTTAACTGATTTCTGTAGTTAATTCTATTTCTAAAGGAAAGGTGGACCTATACTAATTTGGTTTAGATCCAATCTTTGGGTCCTGAAGAAATTAACGGTACTCTTAAATTTTTATTTGAAAATTGAAGTCGGTTTTGTTTTTTGCTTGAAAATTACTTGTTTTATTTTCAATGAGAGAATGATTCTACCTTGTAATTTTTTTTATCATGGTTTCACACTAATCCATGACAGCTTTTTATTTATAATTTATGTATACGTTGTAGATGCATTCCAATTGAGTAACCAAATAAAGGAAACTATTTTTTTATCATTTGTACTATTTGTACGACTTTCCGCATTAAAAATTTTTATGCAGAATTTGAAAATATACCCCATTTCAAAATTAAAATACCGCCACATATTGACAAGTTTTAACATTTTTTTTTTTGTTATTAGATTTTAGTAATTTTTTTTTTATAAAATTATTCTTTAACGACAATATATTAAAAACAACTGAACAAACTTTCGTAAAAATTTCAAGCTTTGTATTTAGATCCCTTAGAAAGATTTGGATTATGTTAATTCTTGTGTAATAAAGCGCAAATTTGAAGTTGCTAAGGTTTACCTTTGATTTTAGGCACTTCTATTTTGCTGACAGTCTTGTGTATTTTCTTCCATTCAAAGTATGCTTGAACATCTTTTTATGTGCAGATATGGAAGAATACGAGCAACACCTTGCACAAAAAAGTTGCCAAAATTCAACGGTCAGCCCTTGCAAAAAAAAATTGAATTTAAGTTTTATTGGGCTTGAGGCCGTTATTAATGAAACTGTTTGTGGAAAAACAAAAATAATTTATAAATGGTAGAAGTTATAGCTGCTATTTCGGAGATCACCACACCTCCTCATCAGACTTCTTCACTGGGATTCGATCCAACGACCCCAGCTTACAATAGTACAGTATATAGTTGGTAGCAATGTGGAAATTATTTTATTAATATATTTACCTTATAAATACTATTTATGTAAGAATATATACAGACATGCATATACATATATGTGGGAGATTTTCCTAATAAACGTT